CTTCCCCACCATCTGCCCCAAGGCGCATGTCCCCCTGCCACTAGCAACAAGCCAGGCTGAGGCTCCTTGGACTTTGATGCAGCTGTTTACAGCCGCCAGGCTGCCTGACACAGCTAGTCCAGGCTCTGGGAAGGACTCTGCCACCCACCACAGAGTCCAGGCTGCTTGCAGCAGTGGTAGGGAGGCTGCAAGCAACTATACCAGGGTCCGCAGAGCCCTGGCCTGACTCATTGCTGGAGGTAGGTGCTCACATGCCCTAAGGCAGATGGTGGGGAAGGGACTGGGGCTGCACTGCCACAACAAGGATCAGGCCCCTCATGGCTCCCTCACTGTCCACCCCATGGCATGCATGTCAAGCAAATTTCCTTTGCATGCCGTGCTCTGGCACACATGTCAGGGGTTGCCTATCCCTGGTATACATATACATAACTGAGATAAACCATCCTTATAAAAATTCTACCCTTAGAAAACTTGAAAGTCTCCAGTCAAACATCCCTCATTACACCTTTTTCCTAAAGCTTTATGCTTTTATATAAGAAATGATACTTAGCAGAATTCCAAAATCTGAGTGATATGAAACATGGAAATATAAAGCTATTTATTTCTTTTGTGTCTTTAGGTTATACCATTTGCTTTTAATCTCAAAAGAGTCATCCTGCCATGTTACTAGCAGTAAGAACTACATAATTAAAATGTCCAGGTTAAGTACTTCAAATAGATTCTTTTTGTCTGATCTGTAAATATGAATTCCAGCATCATGCCCTTCATTATCTATTTCCAAGAAAAGTTCTGTTTCTCTGAAAAGTTTTGTTAGTAAAATATGAATCTGTTAACATGAAACAAATGTGAATTTGAGGCTCAGTGGGAGCTGGTTAGCTGAAGAAATACAAAAAAGGTTCATTTTTATATTATATAGTATTCATAATAGAGGTTAAATCCTCTATGTGGCTTCATCAGAGTCTCACTTACCTTCAGATACTTATTTTCTTTGCCTGTCATTTTGACAATGTCACTTTCTACTTGAAGCCCTCCAATGGCTTCCCCTTTTTCATCACAATTTATTTAAATATTTTTCCTCTTCACTGTTTCAGATAAGCCTTTCTTGGACTTCATAGTGCATCCCATCTTTGTACATTTACAGCTCAACCACTGATAATATTGAAACTCCCTTTGACTTCAGTGGGGCCACCATCTAACACTTTTCACTCTAAGCTCTGAAGGCCACTAAGTTGTTCTAAGTTGTTCTGTTCCATTCATGATTAATGCATTCTTATTACTGGTTTCCAAAGTTTTAAGGTTTTTCTTCCCCTGTATCTGTATTCTAGATCAGATTTTACTTCACATATGTATGCCACACAGTATTTTGTTCCCCAAACAGTTCCTTTCTCATTAATTCGTGAGAAACTAGTTGCTAAGTTAGATGCTACTTATTGTGAGTTGAAGTACCACAGTCAGGTGCTCTATGTTTTGCACAGTCTTGCTTGGCACAGCTTAACAATTATATTGCTACTGTTAATGATAATAATAATAATAATAAAGAAAACTTATGGTGAACTTAAACAACTGTTCACCAGGGCGCCCTGGGGGAAAACTAGAAAAAATGGCCACAAACTCCTGGAAGATAGTTTCAGGCTGAACATTAGGAAAAACTTCTTTACAACTAGGGTGTCCAGACTATGGAACATGCTCCCCACAGAGGTGGTGCAATCATCTACCCTAGAGGTCTTCAAGAAAAGACTGGACGGTCACCTGGCTGGGGTTGTCTGACCCCAGATGTCTTTCCTGCTTATGCAGGGGACTGAACCCGATGATCCTTCGGGGTCCCTTCCAGCCCTATGATTCTATGATTATAACTTAGATAGCACTGAAAGGATTCACTTTATGACACTGGAATTATTTCAATTGGAAAACACAGTTCCAAACTGTGACCTGTTTTTGCTTTTCAAGTACCAAAATCAGGTGATGTAGAACTATTTATCATTATCACCATCAGCAGCAAACCCTTGCCATCAAGGATAATTGTCTTCCATGATTGTCTTATCTGTGGGTCGAAAGATGGCTGATGAAGCCTATCCAGGATCTGTTGCAGCTCAGGCATGTTTCCATGTGGAGTGGGTGGCTCCAGGTTCTTGATTCAATCTGTGACACACTGTTTTGCTGCTCCTGCTTTTCCATCTCCTGTTGTCATCATAAGGTTTGAAAGTACTGAGATCCTTGAAGCAGATTCTTCCTCCATTTGATAGTCTCCAATGAGTTGATGTTGCATTTTTTCCAAGTTGTCCATAAAAATGTCTTTGAAGTGCTTTCTCTGCCCTCCTCTGGAGCTGGGAGAATAAAACTTGCCTTGGGAATCTGGAGATGGATATCCATATAATGTGGCCAGTCCAGCAAAGGTGATGTTGGGTGATCATCACCTTGATGATTTGCTTGAGAGAGGATGCTAACAATGATGCTCCCAATGGATTCAAAAGATCATCTTCAGGTAGTGTTGATGGAACTTCTCCAGTGGCTTGAGATGTCTCTTGCACATTGTCCATGTCTCAGCCCTATACAATAAGGTGAGGATTGTGACTGATTAATAAATCATGAGCTTAGTTCTGGATCTGATGTCACAATCTTCAAACACCCATTTCCTTAGGCATCCAAAGGCTATACTTGCACATTTGAAGTGAGGTTGAATTTCTTGGCCTTAGCTTTCTGAGAGAGAAAGCTTCCAAGGTATGGGAAATATTCAACATTCCCCAGAATCTCACTGTAAATCTGAATTAAGAGCTGGGGACCCATAATTCAGATTCATTAAGAACTTGTTAATGAAGGACCTTCATCTTCTGAATGTTAAGAGTCAGTCTCATTTTCTTATATGCCTCAGTAAAGATGTCATCAATAGCCTGAAGTTCTGCTCATGAGTATGCACACACTACAGCAGCACCAGCACACTGGAGCTTGATGACTAGGGTCAGGCTGGTCTTGGTTTTGGCTTGGAGTCAGCTGAGATTAAACAGTCTACCATCCATTTGGTAGTTTAGCTCCACTCCCAACTGGGAGCTTGTTGGTGGTCAGATGTAGCATTGTGGTAAGGAATAGACACAAGTGTTTGAGTAATGATGCAGCCTAGCTTAACTCCTATCTTAACCTCAAACGGATATGTGATAGATCCATTATTGAGAACCACCACCCACATACCACTATGCAGCAGGCAAAAAATGGTGATGAATTTGGGTGGGTATCTGTACTTCAGAAGGTTCTCCAGAGTGCTGCTCAGTTGATGGCTCAGTTGATGGACTCAGTATGCTGGCTGCTACTCACTGCTTCTCAGTTGATGGAGTTGAAGGCTTTCATGAGGTCAAAGATGGTTGAGGGCAGAGGTTTATTTTGTTCCTAACATTTTTCCTGCACCTGGAAAGCAGTGGATATTATGTCAGTTGTGCCTCTTTATGCCCTAAATCCATGCTAAGATTCTGGAAGCAGTTCTTCAGCAAGTGGAAGGCGACAGTTCAGGAAGGTTCTTGCAATGATCTTTCCTGAGGTGGACAGCAAGGTGATCTACTTATCTACTTTTATTTATCTACTTCTACTTGTGGACTGATTCACAGCCCACTGAAATGAGTGAAGATACTCCCCTTGACTTAGGGTTTCAGGTCAAGTTTTCAATGTGTTTGAAGTCTCTGTGTTCAGACCAGCACTGAGAAAACTGTAATTTGCATGAAAGATATTTACTGAATTCTAATCTTTAAAAAAGAACAAAATATCACGTGATTAACCTTTTTTAAATTATATCAAGAATAATAGCTGGTTGTGAACTTTTTCACAAGATAGGTTTTTCATTGAAAAAGGGCAAATTCTTGAACCCAAATCTTTTCACATAAACATCCTTGAGAGAACAGACCATTAAGACCTGCTGTGACAATATGGGCGTCATTAGTCTTTTGTGTGTAGCTCAATGACTGAGCTATTTCTATTCCATGGTATTAGTCTCCATTTTTATCTTTTTCCAAAATAAAATTGCCAAAAGGTCTCTGTTTCATTCCAGTGCAAAGTGAAGATCAGTAGAAGAACTATAGGTGGGCAAGCTGGGCAGGAGCCGCAAGGGCTGCCAAGCCAGGGCAGGTGCCTCACACTTTCATTCCCCTGCTGTACCATGCACTTGCAGGGATTCTGGCAAGTAGGTACAGTGCTGGCTGTGAGATGGGTAGGGAGGGCAGAGCAGCAACTATGTGCTTGGCACTGACTGGCGGGTCTCTCCTAGAGGAAACTGCCATTGAAGGGAGAAGTATTGATTAACCCTTCTCATCCCTTTTATTTGCTTCATAATTTTGGCATTTAAATTACTGCTTAACATGTATTTCTGTAATGGCTTCTCTGTTAACTTATGCAGCGACAGGTTTCCCCATTAAGCCTCTACAGGCCACTGCCCATTCCCCATGCACCACCTTGCAGCACTGCCCAGTTATGCTTCTGAGGAAGACAAATCCCAAAACTAGGAAATTATTAATTAACTGGACGTCTTGTTTTCTGACCAGTTCATATGAGCATTCAGATATATTATCTCCATTCATTTGTTTTTATTAGAAAGACTATAAAGTTATGCTTCATTATATAAAATATTATTATTCCACAAATCCTCTCAAATGTTAACTTTGCTTGTAACAAACTGTGTTCTTGGTGTTTCTTTATGGAAAGTACATCTCTGAAGCATTTATCTAGAAGAAATGGCTTGCTCTTATACATAACTTCTGAATTTTCACCTCCCTCCTTTTAAATTTATTTTAGTAAGTTTTACTGCCTCAGAAGAGTAACATATTCTCAGCTTTGTGGATTTAAATCCTCTCAGTGTAAGAGGTACAAATTGGTACAACAGTGTATGCTTTCTGATGCTGTTCCATTAATGTGGTTTCTGAAATAAGCATTTCTATGGATGAAAAGAACTTGTGGTCAGACTGCCCCCATCTGTAAGGAGAAAAAAAATAAGGATTTTAAGTAGAAGCAAAGTTTCAGCCATGAAATCTATCCAGTCCCTAGTATGATTATTGGCGTAACAGCAGGAGACAGAAAGCTGCCTGCATACAGACTTTGTGTCTCTATGCAGACTCTGAGTTTCTTTGCTCCTGAAACACACCACACTTTACTTCTGCCCTCAGAAATTACTACAGAGCTTGGTGGATTGCAGGATTCCTGCAGTGCAGAAAAGGATCTCTTATTTTTTAGGCTTATCTACTGGTGCTGTAGGCAAGGGGACAATATGCATTAGATTAATTCTTATCCCTCACCATGTGCAGCAGTCCTGATTTGTCCTCCATAGAGCCCAGGAGGAGAAGGAAATTGCTGTAACTTAGCTGTGGAAGAGACCTTCTGTGTATAAATACTGAGGAGAAAGTCTCATGAAAATAAGCAAAAAGCATGATTAAAAAAAAAATAAAATTATGGTTCAGTTTAATAGCACTTAGTAATCAAGATGCTTTTGAAAACTCTGCTTTCACTTTATCGTCATCATACAAAAACAATGTATATGTTTGTATTGTGTAACTCTTATGTTATTTGAGTACAAAGATCAAATACACAGGTCCTGATAAGCTTAAATACATTTTTAATTGCAATGTCTTTTCTTAGGTTAGATAACAGAATAAGAATTATAAAACTTAGCAGAAATTTGAAGACTAATAGTGTGCCATTCTACACTTTTCTTAGTCCTGTCTAGTGGGTTAAATATTAGCAGCCTCTAAAATAATGCACATTTATTCCATATCACAATGATTCTGTAGAAAGAAAAATACATATTTAGACTGCTTTTATTCGTTAGGCAGAAGATCAATGTAAATATCTGTATCTTACCCTCAGTTTTAGGTACTACACTAAAAACTGCTGGACTTGACTTCCCTGGAAGTCAAACAACATTTTTCTGATGCAAGGATGGTTCCTCCCAAGGAACGTTTGAAAAGCCACCTCCCTTAAGAACTTCAGTAAAACAACTTTATATTAGTGCATAAGCTAAGCGGAGTTCTGCAGATAGAGGCAAAGCAAGGGAAGAACTAAATTTCTGGGCACAATTCAAAGTACCAATTTTGACCTATGAGAGGCTCAGCTGTTTGGGTCCTATAAACCTAAAGGACTATTCTATCACCATCCCTAAATTCAGCTGAAAGCAACTTCCTCTAGATGCAATTTGTGCACAAAATGTTTGGAGAGGTTGTTCTCTAATTGCTCTGCAGCTTTGGAACTCCCTCCCTCTTGTGGTTCATCTGAGCCAGGACATCTTCTGAAAGCACTGTAAGCCTTTTTTAAAAATGTTTATATTTTAACTAGGGCAGGTCTTCAGCAGACAGAGGTAGATTTGGGAGCATTGTCTAGGGAGTCTGTTATTTTACATTTCTTTTTTATCTATTTTTATAATTTATCTGCTTTATATTGCAAGCCACCCTGAGCCTCTTTAGGGGGAGGAAGGATATAAATCTACCAAATAAATAATAGGTAATTCCACTTGCCTAAACACTTTCTTAATATGTGCCACTTACCCTTTATGATGCTTTGGCTGTAGTGTACCACCACACTCAATTTCAGTTCAGCATAACATTGCTAAAAGTATTTAGGCAGTGGGCTGCAGTACTTTTAACCAACAGGACCATATTGTGTGAGCTATAAACAGCTAAGTGAGAAAATCTTCATCTCATATAAAATGGAACAACTCTATTGAAATCAATGGACACCATTTAAATCAGTCAATTGGGATCACATCCAAGTAGTCTTAATATTTGTTACTCCTACTGAGGTATCTGTTAACTGTTTCTGTTATCATCCTGAGTGACAATGTAGAATGATTTAGTGTAAATTGATTACATTGCATACATTGTAAATGTATTCTTAATAATTCATATTCTTAATGTGCCTTTTAAAATTTGCAACTTATCCAATCTCTCTAGAACAGCACACATATCAACAGAAAATAACTTGGAACTGTTATAAATTGGGTATCAATGCTTGTCCAATACAAAATACTATTAAACAAAAATAGAATTGAATGGTTTCCCTAGGTAATCACTGTAGCAGGTATTTAATCATAATGCAACATCTCTACCTCCCTCTCTGCTCCACTAAGTGCTCAACATCTGCTGTATATCAGCAGGTTCAATGGCAGATGATGAGCACTCAGTGAAGCAGCTGCTGAGTAAAAAACAGAAACAATTTAACAACAAATGTATGGATACTAAAACATCCATTGCCTATTTTTGTTTTTCATTCTTTTTTTCTGGAGACCGTGCAGTCCTGTATAAATTGTCGGAACAGGAACAGCTAAAGCAATTGCCCTACATCCTTTTCTAAACTGTTCAAAACCTGATCTCATGGAGTTTCTTCCACAGAGCAACAGCAAAGTTGTGTCACTTGCTTCTGTGATGAGACTGCCAGCAGACATTAATTGGTATTAAATTGGATAATGGTCTTCCTGTGTGGTTCCTTGTCTTCTAAGACCTAGAATGAGACCACCTAGAATGAGTTATGCTAAACAAGCCAAAAAGAGGTCAAGCAGATGGTAATAATTTAGAGCTTGGTTTATTGAAATTAACTGGCAAAATTAAGAGAATGCCTTTTCTACAGTCATTGTGTGCTTGCAGCTTGTGTAGATGTAATGAAACTAGCTTGAAACTAGTTAGTTCAAATACTGCTTTTGGTTTAGCACATAGAGAACTGTGTCTGCTGCAGAACTTACCTAAGAAGTACTAAGGTGGTAGTCTAGCCCGCTCTGGTCACAATACTACTGCAGTTGAATTACTAGAGTACTTAAAACTAACTAATTTAAATGTAGCCTGGGTATTGATGAAAAATGTGAAAAGATGATTGCTGTTTTTCTAAAGTCCTCATGGGATATAGCTCTAGAAAGTATTCAGTTAAAAAAATGCAGGCATAAGAACTGAAATATGTATTTGACCCTGACAGAAATTACACTAGAAATTAGGAGATTTCTAATCAGCACAAGACTGACTTTCTGGAACAGCCTTTCAAGAAGAGTAGCGGGGGAAAATATGAAACTGGTTCTAAGGTGGTTACCTGTGCTGTTATGAGGCATGTGGTGTTTGGGCAGTTTCTTGCTCTCTGTTGTTCTCAGTGTTCAGACTGCTTGTACCTGTGTACTCTAGGAGGCTGCTGCCTGCAAGCAACCTTCTGGAGCTTAGGTCTGATACAGAAAAAAAATACTCAAATTTGTGTTTTAGTGGCAGAACCTCAGAGTGGTTTATTGTCACTTGGGCAGTACACCAGCTGGTCTATTTAACAATTAGCCCAAATAAGGGCTTTGTTACATGTTGCACTTTGAGCTGATCAAACACTGTTCCTTGTTAGTGCTAGCTTGAGTTTGGAGCAGTTATACCTTAAAGCTAAAAACCTTCTCTGACTGTCCCCCACCCATACAGCTATGACTTGCCACTAGAGGGCTGGTGAGCAGGGTCCTGACTAGGCTACAGCTGTGACTTGCCACCACAGGGCTGGGGATCCAGGATGGACTTCTATTCCTTCTCTAGGTCAGGGTGTATGAAAGATGGGTTGTGGCAGAGGTACATGAAACATGAACCTGGGAGGCAGAGAGCTAATGGCATTGGGATGAGTAATGAAATGGGGTGGAAAGGAAATGAGGTTGGGGGTAGGGTGGTTAAATGAAGGAAGTCAGCCACTAAAAGACAAAATAAAGAGTAAAAAAAAATAGAAAAGAAAGAAAGAGCAAGTAAATTACAGAAGGTCTCATGTTTTAATAATTTAGGGTTTGGGTTTGGGGTATGCGGGTGCTGGTCCTGTTTCCTGGAGTGGCTGGGAGGTGGGAGTAGTGATGGAAGGGACATTTTTGGAGGACCCGCTGCCTTATCCCATGGAAGTAAACTCCAGCTCATGGAGACCATATCCTGCCCTCTATCTTGTTCCCCCCACCCCAAAGACCCCATTCCTGGATCTATCCACGCCCTGTGACCTTGATAGATGGCATGTACTCTTTAAATTGTTTGTATGAAGTTGCACCCCTGGAGGTGGAAAGGTCGCACCTCTGGGGGCAGGAGGAGGAGATGGTTTGGTGCCAGAATTACCCACTGAGCACTAGATTTCAGGGAATACAAAGTTTGTCCACACAGAGCAGGAGCGGCAGAGAGACCACTGTATTCTGAGATGCTGGAGGACTATAACTTGGGTGGCTCATCTGTGAGGACTGGCCACATAACATAAGCTGGATAACATGGGTCAGAGATAAAATGCCCCTGGAGTAGCCTAAATTTAAATCAACTAAAGTTGCTTGAAATTAGTTTCAGGTATTTAATGTATGGGAAATCCAGGGGTTAAGAGTTGCTGGAGCCACCTAACAACGTGCATGTGTAACAAGTCTTTTAGTGAAACTTGCCTGAGACAGGTAGTGACACAGTACCTCAATAACGGTCCCAAAGGTTGCTACAAAAAACAAGTCTGGTAGCCTCTGTAGTTATACCCCAACTGCCCTAAACACATGCTAGTGTTTATCTATCTCACTAGATGTCCATATCTATCATTGTCCATTTCTACTTGTTTCTTTATCAAGTTTGCACACCTGAATATTCAGTTCTTTTTACCTCTGCCTCATTCATGGGGTTTACTCTTCACATTACTTCTTGCATTATTCAGCTACTGCTTTTGCTATTACCTTCTTCGAATCAGCTTCTTTGACCATTAGTGTGTTTTTATTTTTTACTTTTCTTATCAGATCATTAAGCAGTCAGTAAGGTCTACACTTTCCAAGCTCCTTTATGAACTTTAGTGTATAGCTTAACTTAACTAAGCTTAACCAGCTTCCAAGTGAGGTGGTGCAGGCTCCCACCCTGGGGGGTTTTAAGAGGAGGTTGGATGACCACCTTACTGGGGTCATTTGACCCCAGTACTCTTTCCTGCCATGACAGGGGGTCGGACTAGATGATCTGCTCAGGTCCCTTCCGATCCTAGAAACTATGAAACTATGGCATAGCAAACCTCAAAGTCTCACCATTTGTTATGGCTTAGAGACTAGTTATATGACATGGACCCATTCACTCCTTTTCACTCCTATGACTTTTATTATTATTATTATTATTATTATTATTAATATGCATGGAATTTACATTAAAAGAGAAGCAGAAGACCATGGAACCCATTATCAATCCTCTAGGCTATTAAAGTGATACATGTCACACCACTTTATTCTAAAACTGATGGAATGCTCCTATTTCAAATGAAAATCTAGTATTCTGATTAGCAATGCACTAATGATGCTCAGTGGATCTGATAAATATCTTCTAATGCAATCAAGGTGTTTAATCAGAAACTAACTAAATATTCATCATATATTTCAGAGGTGAAAAAGTGTGTACAATTTACTAGCAGAAGCCTTGCTCATTGTTCTCATGGAAGTACTTCTAAGGAATACCTAGTAGTCCATTTGCAAAGGTGATTCCCATTGCAAAACTGTATGCAGAGAGGAACCTTTGAACTAATAGATATTCCAGGAAACACCAGATCTGGCCTTGTTCAAAGTTTGAGGTCCACAGATCTGATAAAATACAGAGATTCAGAAGAGGAGCACTAGAGTAAGACATGGCTGGGCTGCAAATTAAGCTTGCAAAGGAGAAGGGAGATGATATAAGGGATTAGACTGTGCGGCATATGGGAACTAGATATGAAGCAAGCCACAAAGGAGCTAGCTATTTCTAAGACTATTTTCAAGTGACTATACTTGTGCTTTCTTATCTTTTCCTGAACCTTTCTTATTTTCTTTACCACTATCCTAATTCCTCACTGGTGCTCACAGATACCAAGTTCTCATACTACTGTTCTATAGCCTCTGTTCTTCACCTATCATTTTGTGCCGCTGAAAATTTTTACACTTTACTCTATAATACACTCCTTATGATCCTAATAGTATTAGGGAAAAAAATGGTCTCTGTTAGGATAACTCTGCTTAATCAGATTAGTTGAACAACACAGCCACATGTTACCTCAGATGTCAGATTAAAAATTATTTTAACCTTAAAAGTATAGTTTTCATTATTTTGAATTTAACACATCAAGCTAACTACCATACTGAGTCAGATGATGTGAAGCTACTTGTTATATACTATCATGGCATGCTCTTATCTTCTTAACAACAGATACCAGTCATTGGTCCTTGCTGATGAAACAAAGTTCCTGTTTATTTGTAAATCTCCTAGAAAGCTTACAGTTTCCTTTGGTGGTAACAGGAGCATTGAACTATAATATATGACCTTGTACATACAAGTATTCTGTTGCTAAAATGGAGATGGAAGAGATGTTTAATTTAACCCTTAATCTCAAGGTGGGTATTGAAAAATATTCAGGATGGCATGGATGACTATATAAAGGGTATAAGTGGGATTGGTTGCAACCCTTGCAATTATCTTTAGTCAATAAACAGAACGCAAACTTTGTAGGTTTAAGCACTGCTAATGCCTATGCCTAATTGTTTTGACGACAAGGTATTTCCCCCTTTTGTTTTTCAGAGGAGAGTACACTTTAGGATAAAGTGTTCACATGTTTATCAAGTTACTACCAAAGTTGAAAACAAACTACTATGCAGCATCACTTCCTTATTTGCTGAAGTTTGTATCAGAACCATCCTTCCCAAACCTTCAGAATAACCCTGTTAATGATCCATGGCACAGTAATTATAAAGGAAAATAATGGCTGAAAGATTTGGTGGTAAAAGCAGAATAGGATAGCAAGTGTAGATGTCAAAGAGAACGAGGACTTCTGCCACACAGAGGAAACAAGAATTACACAAGAGAAAGATAGTACAAAACAAATATGAACAGATTCAGAACTAATGTCTTTTTAAAACCATTCAGCCACATTTTATATATTCAATTTTAATGGGATAAATAAAATAAAGAAGTAAGAACAATAGGGAAGTCATAACAACTTTTCCTATGTGAGACTCATCACTAATCTGGATTTTTTGGTGTGTGTGAAGAATATACTTAATATTTATCCTCTTACTAGAAAATTTGAAAATGTTCAGCCAGTTTTACTACTGTAGCAACTTCAGTCCCTTTGTATCATAAGATACTGCACCTAAAATAATGTTTTCTGTTTCTATTTCTATGACAGAAATGGAAATAAATTCAAATAAGGGCCACATAAATTAAGGATTAAGAAGAAAGATTAAATATCTAAATAAATGTACCTTGTTCTTAGGCTGGATAAGAGTTTTTTGAGTGAAATAGCTGTCTATAAATAAGTTTTTTGAAGGATATAGACCCTAAGGAGAAAGCAAACTCATTTCACAAAGATTTGATGATGATAAACTAAAAGTAATGGAATGAAATTAAGCAAAGGAAAAGTTTGATTTTAATAATGTGAGGAAAAACAAATTCTTCTAAGAGTGAGATATTAGGTTGTGATTCCAAGGAGAATTATCTAGAAGATGGGAACAGCTGTATAGAACAATCCTGTATTTTTCAAGGGTTGGACTAGGTGACTTGATATGATAGACTGTTCCCATTTTTAATTTGTGTAGTTATTCCCTGAAGACCTGATAGCATCTTCTCCAAACTGTCAGAATATAATGGGAAGGTATTCTAAGAGACATGAGTTTAAAGAGACTCTAAGCCTTGCAAAAGGTACAATGTACCACCCACTTTACTTTCTGAATGCAAATCTGAGAATCAAGAATATTAAAGAAACCTTTTGCCTAAAGGACCAGTATTTAATAATCGGCATTTAGGCCTACAGAAACACAAACCAAATCAGACTTTATATATGCAAGAGTATTGAATTGCAGCATCAGATCAGGCCACGACAACATCCTAACATTTTTTAACCCAAAACAATTATAGTGAAGAAAATCAGTATAAACACCATTTTCTTCAAATTTCTTTAGCAAATAACAAAGCAAATGGCCTGTGGATAAGCATTTGGTAGTTTCTGAACCATATTAAGCTGGACTCCACTTCCTGGCAGCCCTGGTAGTACCATCTACTTCTGATGACCGCTGCCAGTGTCACTGATGCCACTACTAAACCCAGCCCTGCTGCCCAGGCACACCGGCTCATCTACCCACATCCACCTCTAAGGGTGCCAGATGGGGTGGGTGGATGGGCAGGGTTCCCATGGAGACCAAACTGTGACCTCTGCGGGCAGAGCACATTCAATGGGGTGGATGGGATGGGGCTGTGGATGAGTGGGGAGAGGCATCTGGGAGCAGGACAGACAGGTGGAGCTGGAGCCGGGATCATGAGGTAGTGCCAGGAGCAAATAATGGCTCTGCCCCAGGCCCCAACTCCGCGCTGTCATTGACCCACAATCTTGACCCCTGGCCTGAGACCCACCCACTCCCAAACATCACTCTCTGCTCACTGTGGTCCCTTCCCATCCATCTAAGCAAGTGCACCCTGCCCACAGAAGTCCTGGGCAAGGCTCCATGGAGATCCTGCCTGCCCACCCACTCCATCCAGTGCCCCCTGAACCAG